TTGCCTCATCTTTACTTGATTAAAGAATACATTATTAAAGTCTAAGGTATAATTATATCTCTACTTTTAGGTCTTTATATCAGTGGCATACATGTGATTCACCAGATTAGCTCATGGTTGTAAAAAAGATGAAATAATACCATTGTGTTCTGTTTATCAAACTATCTGCAGTTTTTAATGGGAAAGATGATGACTTCAAAGGATATGAATATTTGGAAAATGAGAAATAAGAAATATAATTTTAAAGCACGACTAACCACAAATATGATTTTTGGTATGTGCAATATATGTGTCATTCATTCGAAGAAATGTTATCTCTATAATAAAAATCCCTTCTTCATCGACCTTTTCACTGTCAAAGTTTCCAGATATGATGTCATTAGGTGAATTTTTACTATAAAGATACATTACATTTCTTATTAGAATTTTGACCCAAATATGACACAAACGAAAAATTCTATTTGGCGTTAATAGTCCAACTTTAATTGATGCATGCTTGATTTTTTTGTCATTAACTTGCATTTAATAAAGTTACAGCACACACACATATAGTGCACAAATAATATCTTAGTTTATTTAAAAAAAAAAATCAACAGACAAAGGAGTCAAAGTCATGAAAAAAAAGAACTGAATTCATGCTACTGTGTACAGGAAAATGTTTATTTAAAAACTTGATCAACAAGAACAGCTTAGGAAGACAGGTTATACAGAATTGAATAATAGTTGAAGGGTCTTGTATAGATGGAAATTATCGAGTAGAAGTTTATATGCATTTATTATACCTAACCAGGAAAAGTTGTGAAAAATCGAAATGCAACTGCTGATCGCTGGCAGAAATCCAACCTGCCCTGCAATTCCGGTGCAGCGCTTGCTGTAACCAATATATACAGGGGTGGAAAAAATAGGTGAGCACTGCTCATGTGCAGTAAATGTTAAACAGCTGCAGGAAATTTGTTTGAATGAAGATTTGCTATTGATTAACATTTGAAGGAAACCTTAACACCCATGTCCCACTATGGGTGCAACAACATATGGGTGCAACAACATATGGTTGACAGACATTATTCCTTGAATTTAAAACCATGGTCAGCTAGAACACTATATGTTTATGCACATGCAGATTTAGCACAAAAATACTCTAATACTAATAAAGGAAATTTTTGTCTCCAGGTTGTGCTCCCAGGAACCTGGCTTCTCACTCAATTCAATAATAGTGGGTCTTGTATAGAAGGATATTTAATAAATGTATATAAATTTCCACTCAAAAATTTTCATCTGTACAAGACCTTTCAAACAGGGTCAGCCCTACAAATCAGGCACACATAAACTGGCCTGGATCCTTGCAGATGTTATCATGGCTGCAACCCTCACAAGTTCAGGTTGTTTGGCAAGGGCAGAGGGTTGGAATGTTGGGAGCTTTACCATTTAATAACAGCAAAGCCATAAATTCAAGCCAAGTATTTATATATTGGTCTATTGCACCAATAAAGCTAATACAATCATTGAATCATGAAATGTATTGTGATTTTCAACAGTACAAAATAGAATCGAAAAAGCTCCTTTACTTAATTTTTATATCCCAATAATTCAAGCTGCAAAACATAATTACTCAAAGACAACCCAAAATATGGTATTAAATTGCAAATGGGCTATTCCATTTAATATCCGTACCCCCCCTGTCGAGGATCCCTGGAATTCTTCAGGGGTAAAGGGTTTTGAGCTTGGAATTCTTCAGGGGTAAAGTGTTTTGAGCTTGGAATTCTTCAGGGGTAAAGTGTTTTGAGGTTGGAATTCTTCAGGGGTAAAGGGTTTTGAGCTTGGAATTCTTCAGGGGTAAAGGGTTTTGAGCTTGGAATTCTTCAGGGGTAAGGAGGTTTGATTTGAAATTTTTCAGAGCTTGGAATTCTTCAGGGGTAAAGGGTTTTCAGCTTGGAATTCTTCAGGGGTAAAAGGTTTTGAGCTTGGAATTTTTCAGGGGTAAAGGGTTTTGAGCTTGGAATTCTTCAGGGGTAAAGGGTTTTGAGCTTGGAATTCTTCAGGGGTAAAAGGTTTTGAGCTTGGAATTCTTCAGGGGTAAAGGGTTTTGAGCTTGGAATTTTGGAATTCTTCAGGGGTAAAAGGTTTTGAGCTTGGAATTCTTCAGGGGTAAAGGGTTTTGAGCTTGGAATTCTTCAGGGGTAAAAGGTTTTGAGCTTGGAATTCTTCAGGGGTATAACCATAAAAAACATGTATCCTCGACAGGGGGTGTACGGATATTAAATGGAATAGCCCAATGGAAAATACATTTACATATAGAAAATGGCAAAACATTTACATATAGAAAATATATATTCACTTTAATACGAAGAACTATCACGATATACTGTACATGTAAGGTCCGTTTCATGTGAAAATGAATTTCCTTATTTCCTTGTTATATTCTTCCAACTTTCAAACGTATTCTTTGGCCCATATTTCGTCAGTGTAGCTTTAAATGCCAACATTTTCATGCTCGACGAAGCTAGATGCCATCTACGAAGGAGCACTTTCAAATTTGATTTTGAAGTGGTTTTGTACGTTTCACCTTCAATTTTATATTCAGCGCAATCGTAGGAACTTTTCTCAGTACCAGAGAACGATTTTGAGCTTAATAAACCGACTTTTCTTGCAAAAATTCTCACTTTAGTAAGTTACAGCGTCAAAATATAATACAATTCAATAGTGTTTGTTTACGCTCGCGTTCCTGAGTCCCAGGCCCCCAAGGACGACGGATTTTTTTGAAAATTGTCATGTTTGAGCGTCAATATCTCGGAAAATACTGAACCAAATCAAAAAAGGTTGAAGAACTTACAAACTAACTTTTTGTGTTCTTTCCAAATCCGTAAATATCCGACAACCGGTTTCGTATTACATTTTGATACAATTTTTCTAATATAAATATCTCGGCGAGTATTTACCCCCCTATTAAATAAATGCCACCATTGAAATCCTCACAATATAACCTTTCGAAAGGGGGGTCAAGTGCCGTCAAAACATTACACAAACCGAAACAATCATATATTTATACTCACCGCTTCGCCAAACATTCAAACGAGAAAATTAGAAAAAGTTGAATATATTCTAAACTTTGGTGTCATTTCCTGAAAGGATATATGTGTAAAATACTCTTTGTATTCAAGCGCTTTCGGGTAGAAAGTTTCGTATGTATACGCCGAATAGAAATATTTATTTTGAATTTTTAAAGTATCGGGTTTTACTAGCACGCGCTTGTATTACGTAATACTTGGCCAATAAGGACACAGAAAAGAAAATGGACCAGAAGCCTCACTGTATATCTTTTCCTAACATTTTCGTGTCCGCGATTTTCGCCATGCGGATCACGAATTTCGCACGCTAGATGACGTGTGTGACACTTGCTGCGAACATCACATCAGCGTTCGTCAGCAAAACAGTTAAAACAGCAATCTTTATTACCTAGTGATGGCGTTTGATGGCGTCGTGATTACACTTGCTGGCTCGCGCCTGCGCATAAAAAATCTCGGACATAATTTTGGCTAAATGAGGCTTCTGGTCTATTTTCTATTCTGTGATAAGGAGCTCCCTTTAGCCGGGATGACGTAAAACCACTGAGCTGTACTATATTACTGGAGGAAGTGCTCGGCAAAAAAAGTGTCCGCAAAAACCAGTGAACTCTATATATATATATATATCTGGAATGATAACAGCGAGCGAAAAGTGAAGCCGACAAAAAAAATCACGACATAAGTATTCGTCATCGTCTTCGTCATCAACTGTTCAAGAACTTTCTTACAGTATTAAAAATCACTTACATGTAAAATTTGTAATTGTTTTGAAAGTTTTTATCACAGTTTTTATATCTTTGTTCACTTTTAACCTGAAGGTGGAGTTATACTCCGAAACGTAGTTATTAAAATAATTTTTTACTAAGCCCATATGGTCTAATTTATATTCAAACACACGTACATATTCATTTACATTTTGCTGGCAGGCAAATTCCGATCACACAATAAATTCTTTAAAAAATAACGTACTAGTGTATTGTGACTAAAAACTATAAAA